CAATGTCATAAAACAATATGTGTACTACTGTTTCATGAGAAACTATTTATTCTGTAAGCCTTCACATGAAGTACAATAAAAAAAAAAAAAGAAAGAAAGAAATTGAGTAAACAAAGTTGATTTGAGCTGACAGTGATGTCATTAGTACAGACTCCTCCTCAGACTGAAGTTTAGATGAAGCAGTGTTGTATCATAGAAGGAGAGTCGTGGATTTAAAGCCAGGAGACCTTGGTTTTAGTACCAGCTCTATGATTAAATATCATTGACAAAGCCTTATGAATTATTTGGTCCCCACTTTCCTAATCTTGGGAGTGAAGAGGTTAATCAGATAATCCCAAAGGCCTACCAGCACTAACATTTCATTTTTCTGAAAAATTAAGGAAGCAAAACTTGAGGGAACTTTTAGCCTCCACAGATGTCAATTTGAAAGACTCCTCGTTTATTCCAAAATGTGCCTTGATTTAAGAATTTTTGACCTAGAGAGACAGTTTAAAATGATCATTAATTTGTTAATTATCCTCCCCTCATCACCAAAAAGCAAAAAAATTATCTTACTCCTTCTACGGTAGTACAGGATTTATCAAACTTGGCTTGCATCCCAGTACACCCAATTCATCTTGTTTAGACTCGTTAGTGTATTACAACAAACCCTATGGGTAAAGTACATTCTCAGTTTTGGTTTATCCGTATCTCTTGTTTCTCTTTCCTCACTTATCAGCATTTTGCTCAACTCACTGTTCATTCAAATTATGGGAAGGCAAAGAAAAATGAAACTAAACATCAGCCTTTTCTTAAATTGTACTAGTGTTTGTGCAGTAGATGCCTCTTACAATACAGCAGATTCAGGTACAGCACTGATTAAACTGTCTTGCCTAAAATAACCATGGGCAATAAAAAACTGACTACCAGAAGATGTTTAATCCTATGACCCCACTCCAGTATAATAATAATTGGTAAAAATTCAAATAACAATAGCATGAGAAAGTAGTCTTATAACTATGCCTAGGGTATAGTTTCAGGAGTCCATGCGAGGAAGGAGGCTCACTTTTCATTCAATGCTTTTGTATTGTTTGCAGATTTACCATGTGCTTGCATAAGTTTCATTATAATAAAAATTAAAAAGCAATATTAGCCAACATTTATTGCGCATTTACTAAGTGCCAGGCCTTCTATATGCATTACCTCATTTAATCCTCTCAACAACCCTAATGCAATTAAAAAATAACAAATTTCTCCATTTTATAGAGGAAGAAACGGGGTTCAGAAAACATGTTCAAGGACATACATCTATTTACCGAACTGACATTTTATGGGAATAAAATTATGATAGATATAATAACAGTGTCGGAAGTTAAATTACCATACAAAGGTGAAGTATGAGTGTCCTACCAATAAAGGAACAAGTTTACTAGGTAGACACTTGCCAAGCTTGCAACAGTAAGTCATGCTGAAACTCTGACTGAGCTCTGGTCTTATAATTCCCAGGTTTTTACTTGTTCACTCTACGGCTTCAATTCCTCAACCATACTGGTAAAATTTTTTATTGCAATTGGAGGTTTTAAATTTGGGAGAGTGGCGAGGATGGATGGCCCATGACCTTCATTTACCTTTCCATAAATAGTTGGAAACCAGCTAGCCTTTCCCCTATTCCTGTACATGCAAAGATTGGTAGAGTGTCTGAGTTGCGATTTGTAGACCTTTTCCTTCCCACACACAGAGCTGAACATGGACCTTTAGGGAAAGCGTAACATATGTTGTGGTGCATCCTCAACTTTGCAGATATGTAGATTGGGTCAGCTGAGTCACCCTTCAGTACCTAACTCAGAATTTTGAAAGCTAAGAGTTTGATACAAGCACACCAAAGGCCTAGTTCTTTGTAGCAAACCATCTCTTCAAATGCCTAGCAAATGTAAGTAAGCTTCAGAAGAGCAACAACAGTTATTTTAGCAACAGATACAAGCATGGAAAAAACACTTTTTGTGCCTCTCCAATTGTATTTTCATTTGGTTTCATTTTCATATCTAACTGAGAAAACAAAAAGAGACGGGAATATTTTCTGTACTATAGATTGCAGACATGATTTATAGTGATAAGGTATAACAATTCACACGCTAGCATGAACCTCAGAGGCACCAGATGCTCATTTTCTGGTGTTTTCCCAATCCTGGCATTAGAATTAGTCTTAAAATAACCATATCTCTCTCCAGGAAGCTCCCATCTTGTGTACAGATTGGATATATTTTTCCAATCACTGTTTCATCCACAAATATTTATTGAGAACTTACTATGTGCCAGATACTCTTCTAGGTGCTAGAGAAATAGCGAAGAACAAAATATAATAGGCAAATAATATATACCCTCATGGAGCTTATAGTCTACTTAGGGGAGAGAGGCAATATCAAAATTAATAAGTAAATTACATAGTGCATTAGAAGGCTGTGAGCACTGAGAAAAATAAAGCAGAGAGTTCTCAAAGCTAGGGTTGCAAATTTAAATAGAGTTGTTAAGGAAGGCCTCATTGAGAAGGTGACATTTAAGCAAACACTTGAAGGAGTTGAGGGAGTGAGCTATGTGGATATCTGGGGAATGATTGTTCCAGGCAGAGGAAACAGTAAGTGCAAAGGCCCTGAGGCAGGAGAAGTAAAAGGGGCCAGATCCTGTTGTTATTGTTGTGTGCCATCCATTCTGTAGGGCTCTGGAAACCATTGTAGGACCTTGGCTTTTATTCAGTGTGCGATAAGGAGCCACTCAAAGATTTTGAACAGAGGTGTGATAATAATCTAATTTCAGTTTCTTATAGAGATAATATTAATTGTGAGACACGTTCCCAGAATGACCCACCAAAGCCTGTTTAACCCATATTATCATTGAACCAAGGTGCTAAATTAGACTCTTAAAACGAGCTCAGAGCACTGAATTTAGATCCAGACAGCTGGGATTTGAGTGGGGTGACTTTGGGAAAGCCAGTTAATATCTCTGAGCCACACTTACCTCACCTGAAAAATAAACAATACCTGCCTTGTGGCTTTATTTTGAGGATCAAGTACAAAACTGAATATGGAAGCACTTGGTCACTATGAGTTGCAGTCGACTCGATGGCGTCGGGTATTTTTGGCTGTAAATTGTAAAGCAAGCACTTATATAAATGTCGGGAGAGATGGTGATAGCACAGTGGTTGTGGTGTGTCATTATTATTTTCAAGAAAATTAAGTCCACATCCTGAGGCACTAAGGCAGAATGCCAGGAATGCAGCCTTCCCTTTCCCAGCCCTTCTTACGAAATGGTCATGGAGATGGGGCCTCTTCCTCCTTCTGCAGCACTGGGGCTTGAGGAGAGAGACAAGCCCCGACTGTCTCAACAGAAGGCGCCGGGTGGTCTCCCAGTTGGATCAGTCATAGCCACAGGGTGTTTGTAGACCCTTGGCTGGTGGCTCTTCTCTGTTGCCAAAGGATTGTCCTAGTGGAGCAGCAAATCCTCACCCCTCATAGACCCCATAAGCTCCCCAATTCAGGCTTCAGACGCACTGGGCTGTCCTCCAAAGTAACCACAACTTTCTTCTCTTTCCCCACCAGGCATTCCTCCTACGGAAGGCTTTTGGATGACCATGACTACGGATCCTGGGGAAACTATAACAACCCTCTCTACGACGACTCCTAACAAAGGACCGTGGACTGGGATGAGGAATAACTGTTCTTTATTTATAAGTGCTTCTCCAGTAGAATTAAGAACAAGTACCCGATGCGCATTGAACGACAATCTTAAGCCCTGTTTTGTTGGTATGGTTGTTTTTGTTTTCCTCCCTTTCCTATGGCTGCTACAACCCCTCCCCGCTCCACCACTTCTGATACAAAAAGAACCATTAATTAAAGGTGAGCCGAGGCTGGTTTGTATCTGAAATGGCCAACTTTGAGCTGCCAGGCCCCGCCACCATGGTGGAGGTGTCTGCACCCACTGCAGGACCCAATCCGAGAGGGACCAAGGAAGAGGGACTGGGTTAGTTTTGCTGGGGGTTACTTTAAGGGGAGCTTTTTGTTCATGGTACTTCTTAAACTTTTCTCTAGGAAATTACATTAAATAGCAATGACGGGAAAGGAAATGAGAACTAGGAGGAATTCACTCCGCACATGAAGATTGCAGAGGTTTCTCCAATTCCTTTTTAAATTCCATTTATCTGGCTGTGTCTGACAGGACACCCTTTTGGCCAGAGAAGCTGGATACCAGCTTCTTAGCTGCCTAATTAATGAAAGATGAAAATAGAAAGCGCCCTGGGGGACACTGGAGGCTGAGGGGCAGAGGAGCAGGTTGCTGTCAGATCTCAGCGAGCCCCCATCTACCTGTCCCTTCCTGACCCCTATCTCAGCTAAGGATGCCGGTTCTATTCAACTTCAACTGGAATCCCAGCCCACAGCTTTCAGTGGAGTTGCAATCCTAAAGGATAATGCCGTGAGATGAGCTTAGGTCTAGATGAGAAAGGGAGAGATGTGAGTGGTGAACACTTGAGGAGTGGAGAAGGGCGGGGGAGAAAGGACGGAGTACCATGCACTGAGGGCCTCATTAAGGAAGTGAGAATAAGCTCTCAATAACTGTCAGAGGCATCCACTGCTTGCAGGAGTCCATAGAATCCTTGCTTTATACCCAGTAAAGCAACAGGTTCACTGCCTTCCTGTCTGTTGGCTAATGGCTGTAAACTGTTTTTTTAAAAAAAGGCACTAATGTATTGGCATTTGTCACTAAGGCATTTCCATAGGAAACCAACACCGTGGTTAATCCATTTATTCTTCCCATACCTTTAACTACACATTCTTCCCTTTAATAAATGAACACCTGAGTATATAGTCTATAATCCTGCATAGCAAATTCTGAGAAAGAACTGATCATCCTTATAGGAATTTATCACAGTGATTCCCAAGCAGGAGGTGATTTTGCCCCCTAGGGGACATTTGACAATGTCTGGTGACATTTTTTACTGGGGGTGCTACTAGTGGATAGAGGCTAGGGAGATTGCTAAACATGCTACAGTGCATAGGACAGCCCACCACAACGAAGAATTATCCAGCCCAAAATGTCAATAGTGCCAAGGTTGAGAAACCCTAATTTATTGTGTTTCATTACGATAGAGCAAGACATTCACAGATTAATAATACTTTTTTTTTTTAACAGATGAAATGATTCGTTTAATTTTTTATATTGAAAGTCATGAGTTTGTTGGTTGTGGGTTGTTTTGGTATGCATGATTGGCTTTTTATTTCTATGTGTTTGCTAGATAGCTTTATTTCACGGTTACCATGCTGTCCACCTATAACACATGGTATTAGCAACCAGCATCTTGTGTTCTGATTCACGAAGTAGAAAACATACTTCAGGTCCTTTTTCAAAATGTGCTTGATTGTCCTTTAATGTCACAAAGAGCTTGAAACTGGGTCAGTTTTTATTTCTAAACTTGAACTTACTGCCATGACTGTTTAGTTTACAGAAACTTGACCCTCAGCTCATCCTGTCACTTGTTGTGGTCTAACCAAGTCCTGACATGGAAACCACCGTTGCAGTACTTTTCTACACCTTCCTGGTGTCAGAGACACTGGGAGCAGTGCCACTGTCTACAACCTGCCCTCCCATACCCTGCTTGAGGAATTCATCTCAAATTCCTTAGGTGCCAGAAGAGAAGGAGCAACACCCAGAGATATTTTGTAACAGCAGTAGGTAATGAGGTGTGAGCTTCCAGGAATTATGATATCTCTGAAAATTAAAAAAAAAAAGTGGATCTTCTCAGAAAATGGCCAAGAATGCCCACAGGTGAGCCTCTGGCTGTAGATGTTCTGGATAATTGTCCCTCTTTCCCACCCTCACCCCCTTCACAAGGCTTTCAGTTTGGCAAAGGACAAGTCAATAAAAACAGGACATTCCATAAGTTTTGTCTCCCTCAGCTAAAAACATTTTGACAAAATGTCCATGGAGCACCTTTGGAGAGGTGCACTTCTGGATGTGGCTTCAGTCATAAACACTGGGTCAGAGGGACTAGCCTCTTCCCAGAGAACCCTAACCAGTTATAAACCGTAGAGTCAGCAACAGCACCTGGTGGGTTGTTGCTCTTAACTTCAAAATCCTAATGGTGAAGAAAGGGACCTGGGTCTAAAGTAAGTGTATTCAGCTAGGTGACAGCATCCCATAAACACTCATAAAACATAACATAAAAACAGCACTCTTTGTTATGCTGGTATAAATTATGTATGAGTTGAACCTTATTTAGCTAAATGTATTTTCTGCATTAGAGTTGGCCAGAGGATTTTAGCAATTGTATTCTGCAAATGTTACTTAAAACACACATTCACACACATATGAAACATATGCCAGTAATTGACATCATTTTCCTGAGGGAAAGAGTCTGTTCAGGTCTGCTTAGGGGAAATGGCTCCAGTGGATCTAAATGAACCACATACCATCCGTGCATAGGATTAGTCAAAAAGCTTTAGAGAGAGGGTCAGTGCAGTAGGGAGGCAACCAGCCTCTTCTAGACAATAGATTGCAAATGCATGGAAGACTGGGATTCCACTTTGTTTTCTCTTTTCCCGTGGCCCCAATGAAATCTCCTGAATTTCTGTTTCTTCATTTCTAAAATGGGGGCAATGCTTTTATATTGACCTCACCCCATATTACATCACAGAGGTGTCATGAGGATTAATGGATTTATATCTACAGTGTTTTCAATTTCTGGAGAAAAGTATTTATAGACATTTGAAGTATTACGTAGATATAAGTGATCTAGGTTTGTTTGCTGTTATACCTATTGGTGTGTTGTTTCTACTTAAATCTATGAAACTGCAGCTGTGTTGTGGCTGCATCAGACAGCTATTACAGCGCTGGACTACCCCAGTGCAGCTGACCAACTGCAGGGTTAACCATGCCTGAGACCTTAAACAATGGTTTCCATCTCCAAAAGAAAGGGTGGCCTAGGACATGGGTCTCACAGACACCTGAGCCAGGATCCAGGTCAGGGTAATAGTACAGATACGAGAGCACCAAGGACAGTAGACTTCTGGCTTTTACAATCCTGGGGTCTCCTGGGTCCTTTGCTGGATTTCATTTTGGCTTGATATCATCTGTTTGCCCTTCATCTTGCTTGCAAGGGTGCATGGTTCAATCCTTCGCATCTGGGAAATTAATTTTGCAACTGGGCCAGATGCTAATTTGCACGTTGATTCACCTTCTTTGCCTTTAACCTTTTTTTGGCAAATGAATGTATCACTTCAACTTTGATTTTAAAAACGGTAGATGATATTGGTAACATTGCTAATCAAGAGACTAATGCCAGATTGTTTTCCCGGGATGAGTTAGCCAACGTCATTTGAAGATGGGAAGACGTGCAACTTCTTTGATATTTCATGTCCTTGTGTCCACATTTGTTATAAGACATATTATACTGATTATAATTATATTAAAGTTGTTAAAAGCTTGCATCTGGCTATGGTGATTCACATTTTGGTATGTTTTGTTATTCATGTCATTCAGTGGATATACTCAATACTGCTCATATGAGGTAGCCCTGGCTTGTTCTTAAAGAAAATTTATTCCACATCAATAAATAATATTTTCTGTGGAGCTGGAAGGTCTTTCTGATCTTAAAATAGGATTGAAGAGCGTCAGAATTGAAGAAACTTTCCAAGCAATAATTTTACTCTTACCTATATTTTGTGCCTTGTAAAATAGATGTTAAAGAACACTTTGAATCAATGAATAGATGGCAGTACATAAACAAGTCATATCAAGCCATAGCAGCACTCACAGTACATTTGATGCCTGCTTCAATCCTGTTCAAGAAAATCAAATTCAGCATATTCATCCTTATCAGACGTTCGTTCAGAAAATAATTTCAATCCCAGAAGCTAACGAATGATTATTTTTTTCTTGAGGAAAATGACAACATACATTTTTTCCTTTAAGAGAAGAATGGAACCACTTGCAAACTAGAACTCATTGATTTGATGATAGATACAAAATTAAGGTCAGATTTTAATAAATTTAGTTTCCTGGTTTCCAGTGCACAGCATGGAGGATTGACTGGAAGGAATCAAAATGGAAGATGGAGACCAGTCATGAAATGGTCCCTTTCCCATCCGTTATTTGGTCGTTTCTTGAGGAACTTCCCTGAGCACAAACACAGCTAAAAACTCCATTATTCAAAGCTTTCCTAAACAAGATTGGTCAGAAAGCACTTTAAATGTACATACAAAGAAAAGGCTTAACAATAATGTGTAGAGTTTACATATTATGAAATTCTTGGATACAAATTAATATTTTTTTTCTGAATTATAGCTTTCCCAAGTCAGAGCATGTTGTTGTTGTTAGGTGCCCTCGAGTCAGTTCTGCCTTATAGCAACCCTATGTACAACAGAAAGAAACAATGCCTGGTCCTGTGCCATCCTCACAATCGTTGTTACGCTTGAGCCCATTGTTGCTGCCACTGTGTCAATCCATCTCGTTGAGCATATTCTGTTTAAATCACTTAGTAACCTACCTGTAATGTCCTACTCTCTGAAATCCAGTGGTACTTACCAATAGCTAACTATATTTTGGCTTTTGTCCAGAAGCATTGAGTCATAAATAACACCTAAAAAGTACTGTTCAAACTGGGACAAACTTCTAAGAGGTATGATGTCTTTCCTTAAAGGATCTAGTCTTTGGCAAATGTAGAATGGACTACTGCACTAAAACAGCATTAGTAAGTGTGAGTCATCAAGTGAACTGAGTTTCTAATTTAAGCAAGACACAGCATATTTGCT